GAACGTTGTAATCAGTTAAATACCGATAGAGTATGTTTTGTAGTTTCAGGAACGTTGTAATCAGTTCAATACCGATAGAGTATGTTTTGTAGTTTCAGGAACGTTGTAATCAGTTAAATACCGATAGAGTATGTTTTGTAGTTTCAGGAACGTTGTAATCAGTTAAATACCGATAGAGTATGTTTTGTAGTTTCGGGAACGTTGTAATCAGGCAAATACCGATAGAGTATGTTTTGTAGTTTCAGGGACGTTGTAATCAGGTAAATACCGATAGAGTATGTTTTGTAGTTTCAGGGACGTTGTAATGAGTTAAATACCGATAGATATGTTTTGTAGTTATTTTGTAGGGCAGGTTAGCGTTAGGAAGACAACACACTCTAGGGTTAGCGATACGTTACTTAAGATCAGACTCATTATCTGATGTTTAATCGGGATTTCAAATAACACACAATGTTCCAGAACAACACGCTCTCGGTTTTTGTTTGTACTACAAACGTGTGTACGTATTTCAGTTCATTGAATCAACAGTCTGCTTCTTCTCCGCATCATACCTCGATAATGCCTTTTCGTCCAATCTAATGAACTCCTGTAAAAGTGAAAATATAGCAGACTTCAAACTTGTAAACTTAATACTTAATGACATCATACAACTGAAGCCGGGAATGTTCTATTGGTTAACGTACCCAGATTAAATCGGAGAGTTGCCCTAAAAAAAAAAACCCTCTGCACTTTGTGGTCGTGGGTGCGCTATAAGAGCGACAGTTAAGTCCCACTAATATGTCAGGCAAGAGTAGCTCAAGAGTTGGCGGTGTTGACTAGCTGCTTTCCCTCTAGTCTATCACTTCAAAATTAGGGACAGCTATACGTAGATAGCCCTCGAGTAGCTTTGCGCGAAATTTAAAACAAATGTACAATTATTTCTGATATTATCAAGACAATATTTTGGGAAAAACATGTTTTATTCAGCACTCCAGTAAATTCGATTATACACAAACATAAACCTAAGTACCTCTCATAATTAACACACTGTATGTATTACGGCCAATTAACAATAGGCAAACCGACAACCGATAGTTACATATGCTATTAATATATTTTAAAAGGGGTTTTATATGTCAAACTAAAGTTATAAGTATATATATCCGTACAAACTATAGAACTGCTCGTGAGAAAAAAAGACTTTTCGTTCGATCAAGTAAAGCAATGCAGTGAAGTGCAGAAAATAGGGGAGCATTCTACTTTTTTATTTATAGACATGGACAACAAAGGGCCACTCGTGTGTGAGGAAAAGTACTTACACTCGTACCACGTTGCATGAATCTGAAAAACATCATTTTAGGAACTAGTGGTAACAACGTTCTCGAAACTTCTATTAAACCAACACTTCTTGTCGTGTACACTGTTTGAGTGGGTGGTTTGTTTTTTTGCAAGATCAGTAGTCATAACGGATTATGATTCCCAGTGCCGCGACGTGGACGCTTTTGCAATGGCCCCTAAACTACATTAAGGAGGGAAGAAGACGTCCAGTAAGCAACTGACCCCCACCCCCAGGTTTTATGGTCCAAACCACGACCGTGTGGTGTGAGTGTTATTCGGTCAAGAACGCCATTCGAGAAATACGTTACCTTAAGCGGCATATCTTTACTATAAATCTTGTTCTTATTACTGTTTCATAACAAGCGGCTGTTTAATCCCAATCAATCACAGACACTGTGAATTTGAGCGCTCACGTTTAAGTTTTAATTGACATTTTACACGACACACGAGGCTTGCAGACATATTTTAAATGTCACAGATGGTGTATCTACACTTTACTTTCACGCATTATCATCCAGTATGTTGCACCCACCTTGTCTTTCCTACACAGACTTCCTGCACGTGAACGCTTTCTTGTAATATTCACATCGAACTAGACCAACATTAATAACAAGAAATGACAGAACGAACCACGTGCTTTAATTTCATGTTCATCACGCTACAAGTCGCTCTGTAGCTCTTCGTATTGATTTATCTTTCAATGAATTCAGTTCTTTCAGCCCGCAAAAATTGAAACAAAAAAAACACACCAATCTTTAGGCTTTCAGTTGTCAAATGAACTTACCTACTAACCCGCTCAAACATCTATAGGTAATGACAAACGTACTTGTATCATCAATACTCTTTATCCAATTACTGCTATTAGCTAATACGTAAGTAGTTTACACGCGTAACGTTTAGTTATTTCGTAAAAACGTATTGATAAGTGCTTTTGTCTATCATAACTCACTAGAATTTGTAGCAAATACTCTTGTAGTTGTGTGTGATATTATGTATTGCAATAAACAAAATGGTCTAATATGATGAAAGCATATATTTAATCTACTAGCTTAAACAAACGAGGTTGTTTACAATGAATAGGATATTTAGTTTATTTAACTTATCAGTTTCTCTATAGCGGTGTTTCTCAACCACCTTGCGGGAATTCCCGAAAACAAATAAACAAAAACTGACAAAATATTCATATGTAAATCATAATTGTTTCCCCTTACCCTGGCCCGGAATGGCCAGGTGGTTAGGGGGCACTCGACTCGCAATCTGAGGGTCGCGGGTTCGAATCCCCGTCCCACCAAACATGCTCGCCCTTTCAGCTGTGGGGGCGTTATAATGTGACGGTCAATTCCATTATTCGTTGGTACAAGAGTAGCCCAAGAGTTGGCGGTGGGTGGTGATAACTAGCTGCCTTCCCTCTAGTCTTACACTGCTAAATTAGGGACGCCTAGCGCAGATAGCCCTCGTGTAGCTTTGCGCGAAATTCAAAACAAAACAAACCCCTTGTCCTTGTTTTTATTCATATGTAAATCATAATTGTTTCCCCCCTTGTCCTTGTTTTTTAGTGGTTCGTGAGTGATCCACGGTAGTGTCGGGAAGCAGCGAGATGGTCCCTGGTCGAGGGGTTGAGAAACGCTGCTCTTTGGTACAACAGAATTTGAACACAGAACGATAAAAGAAAAAATTAATTGAATCAATGTTTCTTTCCAGGTTTGCGTCTTGACACATGACATGTCCACTCTTGAGACATGACATGTCCACTATCTTCACACACAGGCTTATTGGCCGCAGTACTCCTCATAGTTCTTATCATGACCAGCTTAGGTCGATCTCGGCCATCACCACGTGGATGTCCTTCATGGAAAGAAAGTCCATGGTGTCCATGCTACCAATTCGAAGATGGATTATTTCTGGAGTGTCCCAACACAAGCCTCTCCGAGATCCAGAAAACACTCTTATTAATCACATCTCCGATAAAATCCTTGAGCATTTATCACTTGGATCCGAACATTACAACTTTACCTACAGGACTGTTTGGAAACACAACAATCTTCCATCTTCAAATCTCCTTTTCTGAGATCAGTTCCATTGCTGAAGACGCGTTCATCGAAGTTCAGGACACACTCCAGAGTTTGTCGATTATTAACAGCCATATTTCAGAGATTCCTCAAGAAGCTTTAAACAAGTTGCGAGTTTTGCGGAGTTTGGACCTTGACTCGAACGTCATCTCGGATATCGAAAGCTACACCTTTTACAACCTACAGCTGACGACCCTTAACCTCCAAGGAAACCGAATATCGTCCTTGACAGAGTATGCATTTGGTGGATTAGAAAATACGTTAGAGAACCTTATCCTCATGAACAACAAACTCGAGGAGTTTCCTCTCAGCGCCTTACGGAGACTCCGAAAAGTTCACACTTTAAAACTAGTGTGGAACAAAATTGAAGATATTCCATACGATGGGTTCACTAGACTCTCGGGATTGGAAAGACTTGACTTGAGTTCCAATCGAATCCGGCATTTGCATGACCGCAGTTTCATTACCATGCCGAGCTTGATCGCACTCTCACTGTATATGAATCAGTTATCTTCTTTAGACGACACGGTTTTCATTCATCTTCAACATCTAGAAACTCTGGATCTCAGCCACAATGTCATCACTGCTCTTAAAGGGAAACTTTTCAAACATTTACAGAAACTGAAAACAATTGATTTAAGTTTCAATCATTTACACTCTGTTGAGCAAGGAGTTTTTCAGAATCTGACGAATCTACGAGAAGTAATACTCTCCAATAATAATGTACTGCTGATTACTAATGGAACGTTCCTCAACTCCACCCTAATATCTGTGCTGTTTGCACCCAATAATGCAATCACGTTAATTGAAAGCGGTGCCTTGTACGGGCTCGTTCATCTTTATCAGCTTCAACTATCTTTTAATCTGCTCAAGGAAATCCATCCGACACTGTTTAAGAACAATCACAAGCTTCGGTCTCTCTCTTTGGATCATAACCTAATTATCGACTTACAGGCTGGAACGTTCCAAGAACTTGTAGAGCTTCGTGATTTGAGACTTCAGAATAACTTCTTGAAAAGGATTGAAAAGGGCGTTTTTTATTCCCTTCCCAATTTGCAGGAGTTACATTTGCAGTTCAACAGGATAGAATTAATCGAAGATGAGGCCCTACAGAGCTTAGCAAATCTTCAACACTTAAACATTCAGGGAAATCAGTTAATTGAAGTAGGCGATATATTAAGTAGATATCCATCAAGTATGCATTCCCTTCTAATTAGCCATAATAAAATTACTACGCTTCACCACAACAGTTTACGAGGACTTAATAAACTGGGGCTTCTATGGTTGAGACATAATAAGATCAGGATGCTAGAAAAAGCAGTTTTCCAAGACTTGGTAGAAGTTCAGAAATTGTATTTAGATAATAACGAAATTTCCACGATTGAAAAAATGACATTTGAACGGCTAAAAAGATTAACATACATCAGTCTAGAGCACAACAACTTGAATCACTTGACTCCGGAAATGTTCGAGGGGGCAGAGAATTTGGAGGAGTTGTATTTATCATTCAACCGCATCATGGACATTGAACCTCAAACTTTCCAAAACTTAAAGAATCTTCGAATATTACATCTTTCCCACAACCAAATCTACGCTATTCGAAAGTTTATGTTTGAGGGCCAGATACCGTTAGAAGAACTTGCTTTGTCGAACGTGATGGCTGAAGAGGTTGAGAGTGGCTCCTTCTTGGAGCTCTCGGTACTCCAAAGATTGGACATCCGTAACAACAAACTAGATGGTGCAAGGGTTAACTTCTTGTTTCTTCCTTCTCTCAAACTCTTGGAAATATCGGGAAACAACCTGAGTGGAATAAGCAATAATGTATTTTACGGATTATCGGGACTAGTAGAACTTGGAATAGAGAATACTAACCTTAGTCCTGTAACTGGAAGCCTTTTTGAACCACTAACCCACTTAGAGATTATACGAATGGGTGGCAATTGTCTTTCTGACCTTCAAACTGACCAGACATATAGCTTAAGCTTTGTTCGTGAGCTCTACCTTAACAACAATGATATTCAACGTGTCCCTTCTACAGCAATTGCGTCACTACCAAATCTTGAAGTGTTGTCTCTCGCTAACAACAATATCGAGAAACTTGACACAGCAGCTTTTACGTCCAATAGAAACATCCAAACTCTCAACTTGACAAACAACTCGATATCAACGATTGTAACCAAAGCGTTCTTGAATCTAACTAAACTTATAAGGCTAGATTTATCAGACAATTCTCTGAAATTAATTCTTCCTGATGTTTTTACCGAACTGAAATCTCTGAGATGGCTTGATTTAGATGGAAACCTTCTGTACTACATTCCAAACGTGCTCCTTCGTTCTTCTCTACTCACCTTAGAATGTCTCTCCGTAAACAGAAACCCGTTGGTACGGATTCGTGAGGACCTTAGTGCAGATGGTGGATTTCCTGATCTTCAAGAGTTCAGTCTCAATCACGGAAACATATCCGTAATTGCGTCTCACGACTTCCGTGGTGTAGAAACCCTTCTCTCGCTTTCTCTTACTCACAATAAAATCACCAAAGTTTCTCCGGGGGCTTTTAAACCGTTAGGTAGACTGCAGGTGCTGGATATGGGAAACAACGAATTAGAGATTTTACCAGAAGAAAGATTCTACGGCTTGGACCAGCTGAAAACAATTAACTTAACCAGAAATCATCTTGTAGACCTTCCACCATTTTCTTCAAACCTAGGCCGCTTAGAAACCGTAGATTTATCTTTTAATAGACTGACTCGACTCCGGTCCAAAACTTTCCAACACCTCTATAACTTAAAGTTCTTGTCTCTGCAAAGTAACTCCATCAGTATAGTAGCTAAAGATGCTTTCTACAATCTGACATCTCTCCAAAACTTAAATATCTTTGGTAATGCATTTACGATCATTTCTAGCGAAGTATTAGTTCCAGTTGAAGTACGGTTAACAAATATACAACTAGGTGGTAAGTTCATTTTATATATGTTTGTTATCCCATGATTGATAAACGACGTGAAAAAACCAGTTAAAATTCCCTAACCCTAATTATATTTGTGAATTTTATGTACATTCATAATTATATTGTAGGTAATATTCCATGAGGTAAATGTCCCTTTTAAATAAACATTCTTATCTGTCCAGTAATCAGGGGGAAATCTTTATAGCTATTTTGTTATACATATTTTTAATCTCGTCACGACAGACTTCACGAAATATTTTTATTTTTGTTCAATCTTTTGTAGGCATTTTAAGATTATAGTCCAAGATTTACCCTCGTGTTTAATGTGTTTTATTTCTAAATAAATAATAAACGTATCATAATGATTTTCTTTTGTTTAATTGGAATTTATTCTCAGGACTAGGCCTAGTTTTACACTTTCTATATATTTGTAGGAGTTAAGAAAGACATGGTCGTCATATTCAGTAAATTTTGAATATCTATTTCGTTGCTCAGCATATTGTTTTGTTAATATAACTTTTTCTATAGAAAGTGGAAAGAAAAATACATAGCGTTTTCTTTAATACACTGCAAACCCTTTAAACTATACTGTAGCACGTAAAATAACAAACCATTTAAACTATACTGTAGTACGTAGAATAACAAATCATTTAAACTATACTGTAGCACGTACTACAGTATAGTTTAAATGGTTTGTTATTCTACGTACTACAGTATAGTTTAAATGGTTTGTTATTCTACGTACTACAGTATAGTTTAAATGGTTTGTTATTCTACGTGCTACAGTATAGTTTAAATGGTTTGTTATTTACGTAGAACAACAAACCATTTAAACTATACTGTAGTACGCAGAATAATTTAGTCACATTCCATTTGTCATCTATTTATTCATACGCTATTTTATCTTCAACAATTTGTTGGTTACACTACAAAAGTCACATCAGTTTATAACTTATTCTAAACCTCAGCTCACTGTGTCGTTTATGTTACTTTTTTTTTTACAACTAGCTTTTTACAAGTTTCTAATACATTGTATGTGTGGTTTCGGAAACAGGGAACCCACTCGCCTGCAGATGTGGCTTGCTAAGCCTATGGGAGTGGCTACATGATCACCGCCACATTGTGGCACCCACAAAAGAGAAGCTTAAGTTAGCGTGTTCGAGTCCTGAAAAGCTCCAGGGTCAAGCACTCTTAAATCTCCATCCTGTTGATATTTGCCCTGCTCCACTTATCTCCCTTCTCGAGGTCCGGCGTTTGAATCACGACAGCATGACGGTACGTTGGGATGTACAAAACGGGACTCTGATTGGCGGATTTTTGCTGACGTACCATTTAACGGCCGACAGATTAGCCCAGGCGAGTGTTAACCTTGTCTCCACCAAACGATCTTACGACGTTAAGAACCTGGATCCCTTAACCTGGTATACAATTTGTGTGACAGCTACAGGAAAATACCTCAAAGTTCTCCACACGCCGACCCCGTACGCAACAGACTTGGATAACGATTACTTGGAAACAAACAGTAACAACAGAAAGTGTTTGCAGATTCGAACGGTGGCCAAAACTGATAAGACAAAGATTTCCCTCTCTACGCTGGGCATCATCCTAGGAAGCAGTATCAGTGGCATCCTAGTTCTAACCCTCTCCATTCTTTTAACGGCAATTAAGTTTCGAAAACGTCGGCGGCCGGTAAAAAACGACAACATTCCTCAAGAGTACATCTCTTATCGACACTTCTCAATCCAAGAACCAGAAGGCGTTTACTCGTGACGTTCTTTCATATTCTATAGGAGTGAGTGTACAATAGAAACGCGCGTTTCAACAAGCGAAACTCTGTAAAGAATAACGCTGTGATTCCACCGAGAACGTGGAGTGACTTATATACAATTAGTCTTCTTCAGTAAGTGTCATATAAGTGCTTGTCTAAGTAGAAAATGTTGGACGACAAAGTTAAACACTTCCCTACCGTTTCAAAGCATCGTTCTCTATAAACCGTTACTGTACCTCAAAACTTATTTGAACCGTCGAAAATACAAAAGTAGACTTCTGTAGGGATCTAATCTCTATAAAAAGGAAACGAGCCCCGGTTATTTGGTAAATGTTGTATGTTTATGTTCACCTACTTGCTTTCAATGTTCACCTGAGCGTACAATTATGTTGCAACCCAAATTTGGGTTTACTCGGATATAGATATTAACGAAAAGCTCAATTTCCAGTGAAGTGTTTCGATGTGGCTGTAAGATGTATTGATGTATTTGGCTTCAGAAACTGCCACCGCCCTTTACTCAGTCGTAGTCTATCCAGGTAAGGCTGTGATGTGTTTGAATTCATTAACATTATTGGTGATTTTCAGTTTTTAAACCTTATCTAGTCCAATCAGGTAAGACTTGCACATTGTGCATATTATTTCAATTTTTAAAATCTCACGTGTGTGATAAGTAAATATTATCGTATATTCAAATACATTCCTCTAAATGTTAGCACAGGTTTTCTGTGATTAGTTAAACATTCTACTGAACAGGATGTACCAAGCAGTGAAAGATGCTACACTCGGAGGTAAAATTTGAATGTGCAGGTCCAAAAAGTGTTATTACTTGTCCATAACGGCCTTTATCTTCAGTTTGAGTTGATATTGTCTTGCTGTTAATCTACAGTAGTCTTGTTTGCCAATTGTTATTCAAAACCACTGGAGCCAACAACAAAGGACCATATGGTCCGTCACGTCCACTCTTCACTTATCAGGAAATCATCGATTCCCTCCCGTAAAGTACTGGCTTCCATTACTGCTGACCATTCATAAACCAATCACTCTGTTAGAAAAATAAAACTGTCTTAAATAGAGTCTAGCTTGTCTTTTCCAAATCTTAAACTTGTGTCCTCTCGTCTTATTATCTTCAGAATATAACAGGAAGAAATCAGAGGCCTTTATCCGCTCGTTCCCCCCAGATAATCTTGTAAACTTCAATAAGATTACCTCTTACTTTTCTTTTCTCAAGATAAAATAAGTTAATAAATCTTAACCCGTCCTCATAAGATAAAGTTTCCATCCCCGAAATCATCGTAGTGGCATTCTTTTGGACCCCCCTTTTCAATAAATCATTGTTCTTTCTTTAAAAAAGGAAAACAAAACTGTACACAGAATTCAAAGCGAGACCTAACTAGTGACTTGTATAAACTTGTAATCAGCATGTCTGTAAATACATTCTAATGTTATAATAGTTTTAATATTAGCAATAGATCAATGCCCTGAGGGCTTGAGTGACTTATCCACCACTGTCTCAAGATCTTTTTCTTCAGTCTCGTGTATATTAAACATGTGATTCAAATTATGATAACTCAAATCTCCTGCCATTTCCTTTCGGACTCCACACTGGATCGTGTTATTCTTCAAGTCTGCGATCAATAATGAAGATCATTTCCAAGTACTTGTCCAACCTACTCCAAGTCATCCTGTAATTCCTCTCTTCATTACAAATAGAAATATCCAAACAAACTTTCCTAATTTATTAATTATGCCCCTATCAATAAAATTAATGTAAATAAGAGTCCCAGAAATTGACCCCTGAGACACTCCACTAGTAACAAGGTTCTAGTTTCACTTGACTCCATTAATAACAATATTTTCCTCTCTCCCATACCACCACTCTACAACCCAGTTAACGGGTCGTTCTCCGACCCCAACAAGTGTGATTTTCTGGGCTAATCTCTTTGTGTGGTGTATTAACATAAGATATAAAGTGCGACGTTTCGAAACACTTCATAAAGACCTGAAAATTAAAGATGGAAGTCTTTAGAAAGGTTTTCCTTCCAGTCTGAACTACTTTCATAGATTAGTACTCCAAACCTTTCTCTACAAGTGTCACTCTGGACCAGACAGATGTTGCCCATTTCACATGTGTTTGATCATCATGAATACGCTGCCTGGATCATCTACAAAAGAAAACATTCAATTACGTTAACCAAACAATTCCTAAATGAACGTGTAAAGGACATTTCGTCAAACAGAAGTTTACTTTAAACAAGTCAGATTAGAAGATATAACATTAGCGGTTGAATATTCGGGAACATTTTTAATATGGCATGACTAAAAATTTAATTGTACATGTCCTTGAGAAAATTCCTGTTCCAGGTTAGAACGTAAAATCTAAAGTTTAAGTCTGGGAAATCAGATGAAACATGAAACTATTGACATTTTGTTAGTATTAGTTTAGATCTAACAGCAAGACTTATATAATCAGTTATGTCTAAACAGTTAAGAAGTACGTATGAAGAAAATATATTTCTAACATTGCCATACTTTAGGTTTGCATGTTACGAATGTACAAATAAGGTATATAGGTATATTGTGTTTCAACATTTGTTCTAATTAGGCCTTTATACCTTAGTGTGTTTCAACATTTGTTCTAATTAGGCTAACATTTGTTGTAATTAGGCCTTTATACCTTAGTGTGTTTCAACATTTGTTGTAATTAGGCCTTTATACTTTAGTGTGTTTCAACATTCGTTGTAATTAGGCCTTTATACCTTAATGTGTTTCAACATTTGTTCTAAATAGGCCTTTATAGCTTAGTGTGTTTCAACATTTGTTGTAATTAGGCCTTTATACTTTAGTGTGTTTCAACATTTGTTCTAATTAGGCCTTTATACTTTAGTGTGTTTCAACATTTGTTCTAATTAGGCCTTTATACTTTAGTGTGTTTCAACATTTGTTCTAATTAGGCCTTTATACTTTAGTGTGTTTCAACATTTGTTCTAATTAGGCCTTTATACTTTAGATTCTAATTAGGCCTTTATACTTTAGTGTGTTTCAACATTTGTTCTAATTAGGCCTTTATACTTTAGTGTGTTTCAACATTTGTTCTAATTAGGCCTTTATACCTTAGTGTGTTTCAACATTTGTTCTAATTTGGCCTTTATACCTTAGTGTGTTTCAACATTTGATCTAATTTGGCCATTTATACATAAGTGACGTGTTAATTATGGAACATTTATACATAAGTGACGTATTAATTATGGAACATTTAAACATAAGTGACGTATTAATTATGGAACATTTATACATAAGTGACGTATTAATTATGGAACATTTATACATAAGTGACGTGTTAATTATGGAACATTTAAACATAAGTGGCGTATTAATTATGGAACATTTATACATAAGTGACGTATTAATTATGGAACATTTATACATAAGTGACGTATTAATTATGGAACATTTATACATGAGTGACGTATTAATTATGATCTTGAATTGAGCTGTTTCTTGTTCTCTTTGTTTTAGCAAAAAACATTAAGTTAATTTTTTTGAATTGCAGTATGAACATTTGTAGGTTTTGAAGGATGAATAAGAAAATATTTCTGAGAATCCCATGTTCGACATGTGACGAATCCCATGTTCGACATATGACGTTCCTGAAGTAACATAGAGGGAAAAGAATAAAAATCAAGGAACATACGCATAAATTACTTGTTAAACTGGTCCAATACTTCAATAACATTCTTTCAAGCCAAAGGGGGGTACAAACAGGATAAGTTTACATTGCTCTTAGCAGTTCACAAAAGTTCAGTGTCAGGGGGCGTATACAGTAAATAAATTGATTGTCGTATGTAGACAACTCGACCACTCCAAGTCTGCCCACTTATACATAAAATATAGTATCAGTCGTCATGGCAGTGTAACAAGAGCGATATTTTCTCAAAGCGTAAAAAAATGCTAACGAAATATTATTGCACACAAAGTACAGTATTTGTTTAAGTGCTGCACAAGTGCTGATCCAATTAATTACTCAACGCGAAATTATTTTTTTTTGCAGATTGTGACGTCCAAATGTCCAGCCGATGTGTATGTATATGACAACCTCTGTACAATAACTTAGAATGTGGAAAAAAAATGACGAAGAAATTGCTGTTTTGTTTTATCTGTCGTCTTGTTCTGAACACGATGTCATCTTGGTTGTTCGAATATATTTGATAAATAAAGATCTGGAAAAATCTGAGCACGTTCCAATGTTATGATATTTCTACAAATTGATAGCTAAATATATATTGATGTAAAATAAAACCATGGAATACGTATTACCTCGCTGATACAAGACATTGAATAATTAACAGTAATGTCGTGAGAAATAAAAACTTCAAAGCGTAATGATTACTAGAGGTCGAAAACAATTATACTTCTAACAATATGATAATTTTAACTTTTCAAAGTATAATGAAAGTACAGTGAAAACTTATAACATACGTTACTTTTGCTCTATATGATTAGACCGTGAACATCCAACTTATAACATACGTTACTTCTGCTCTATATGATTAGACCTTGAACATCCAACTTATAACATACGTTACTTCTGCTCTATATGATTAGACCGTGAACATCCAACTTATAACATACTTTACTTATACTCTGTATGATTAGACCGTGAACATCCAACTTATGACATACCTTACTTATACTCTATATGATTAGACCGTGAACATCCAACTTATAACATACGTTACTTATACTCGGTATGATTAGACCGTGAACATACAACTTATAAGATACGTTACTTCTACTCGGTATGATTAGACCGTGAACATCCAACTTATAACATACGTTACTTATACTCTATATGATTCGACCGTGAACATCCAACTTATAACATACGTTACTTATACTCGGTATGATTAGACCGTGAACATCCAACTTATAACATACTTTATTTCTGCTCTATATGATTAGACCGTGAACATCCAACTTATAACATACGTTACTTATACTCTGTATGATTAGACCGTGAACATCCGACTTATAACATACGTTACTTATACTCGGTATGATTAGACCTTGAACATCCAACTTATAACATACGTTACTTACACTCTATATGATTAGACCTTGAACATCCAACTTATAACATACGTTACTTATACTCGGTATGATTAGACCTTGAACATCCAACTTATAACATACGTTACTTATACTCTGTATGATTAGACCGTGAACATCCAACTTATAACATACTTTACTTCTACTCGGTATGATTAGACCGTGAACAT